AAGATGTGGAGTCAGCTTCGTAAATGTTTTCATTTAAATAATAGTTAGGTAGAATCATAAGTTCGTTTGAAGAACTGACAAGAGAATAGCAATTATGTATTGACTGCCTATCGCATTATGGACTCCCTCCTCCTCTTATCTGCTGGGATATCCCCGTATTCACGGTGATTATCATGATTTACCGTAACTATAGAACCACTAAACGTGCCCTACTTGATAGCGATAGCTTAAATAACTGTGATCACTCTCACATTGATTCAGTACTTCTTTTAGCTGTGTCGTAATACATGGTTTGTTTATTTTAACTCCCAGTTTTGGGAAAGTGACAACTTAGATACACCACCGTCGTACCTATACCAGGTGGGATGGTCTCCGGGTCATGCTAACAGCCCCGAGCCCTTCTGTATGTCGAATGCATACATTCTGCCCAAATATTATGTCTTTTTCCGTCTACAGGAAGGTCTTCGGATGCTACATCAACGGCAACGGGAAGTACACCCGATCTCAAAGAACAAGCATTCTGATTTCTACTGCTGGGTGCTAAAACTTAGTGAGGTGAAAGAAGTGCATATCGCTGCAGATGGGAGAATCAATGATGAGCCCTAATAGAAGGGCTGAAAATGACGTTCATATTTGACAACCACCCCCGTCCCGTGGCCTGCAGGAAGGTTATTAAAAACAGAAGCGACACTAGTTATGAACCACCTTGGAAAGTTTTGTTACAGAGCTCTTTATCGTACCTGTATGAGGACAATAATATGTGAAAATGCGATATCTCCACTGTTCTACTAGATGAATGGAATCCACATACGTGTGGCTGAGCAGCTCTGTGTAATAAGTTAGTTATTTGTTTGCCACTCGGTTTTGGTAAAGGGGCCAATTAGGTGCACCGCCATTGTACCTTAGCCGAGTAGGTAGGCCTTCGGGTCAAGGCAGTAGCCCCAAGCCCTTCCGTATGTCCAATATATATATGTATATTCCGCCCGAGAGTTATACCTTTAGCCGCCTTCATGGAAATCTCAGGGCGCTACATATGTATTATCAACGTACGGAGGGGCTGACTGGCCACCAGTACGGCCCGGAGGAAATACCGCTGGGAGTGAGCCCACTGCACGCGTAACCAAGACGAAGAGTTAAACAAAAAATCAAAGTATTACAATTAGGTATTTTGAGCTTATAGGAGCTATGCAATGTGGTGATCGTTAATCTCCGCCATACTAGAGTAACAATAGCACACTGGTGGTCATTTCTGTAACCGCGAGTGCAAAAATAAACAGGCAAAGTACGCAATTGACGGGTGCACAGCAAATGCGGTGAAAGCGCGATACAGACTCCTGAGAAAAGCATATAGCTTACTAATGTACATTGCTTTGGCATATTTGGCTTATCGTCACATCATGTGAGGCTGAAAACGATAACACAATACCTGCGTCTAGTTGCGCAAATAAACGTCAGTTCAAATAGCCTGTTGGAATCGGGAGTGTAATTTAATCGTCATGATTGCTGACCAATTTGCACATGACTCTCGCAAAAATTGTGCAGAGCGCCATCCTTGCAAAAGACGTGGACTTGAATCTAACAGCGTTTCAAAGCTAGATGAACGAATGTTGCCGAAATACACGCAAGCTTTATCTGCATTCTTATCAGTTAAGAAAGGGGAAGCCCGAATTGAAGTGCAGCGAGTCTTCTCTGAGGAAGTGTATTAAAAGTGGTTGAAGAATAGCTGACTAATGGCGCGACCCTAAGGCCATGCTGCCAACTGGAAGTACAATCAGCGGAAACCTAAATGCTTGCACGTCCAAACGCCGATTTAAAAAACTGCCATCGCGTTTAATACACACGCACACAGCCAATTTTTTGCAGTGAAAATCACTAGGCTGTAATAGCAATCATCATGGCAGACTTTTGATACCTTCGCATTGAATCTAAAACCAGCAAATAGGCCAAAATTTATAGTATTTGCACCGAATCAAACACGGAAATGTATAAAATCGTTTGTTACTACTTTCGGTAAATTCACTTAAGGTATTCAAATTCGTACCACCTTAATTACCCACAAATAAGCCCAATTTTAATTTTGCTCTATGGTGTAGAATTTTGCTATAATATACAGTCTCTTTGAAATTGTGGAAACTAAAGGAATAAAGACCCACTCCTTTGTTTTGTGGTGTTCGGTGGTCTATTCATTTAAGAGTTGATGGGATCTATTTTCTATTTTTATAATTTTAGCTTACTTGTTGGTCATTCCTTCACTTTCATCAGTGTTATAATAGTCCAGTTCCATTTTGTAAATATTGCTTGAGTCGGTATTCTGATTGGTTGTGTTCGTGCTTCGCCGTTTTGCTACTGTAATAGAGTATACCAACTGATGCGTTTTATTCTTGGATTGCTTCTTCTATGTAGGTCAAGATTCCTGAATGTTTCTTCTTGTCCCTTTACATTACTACATCTTTGTTTTTGACTTGGTACACCAACAAACAGGCTTACTGCTGTAGTTTACTATATGCCATTTACTATACAATCTTTCGCGGTCAACTGTTCAATCATCAATGGTGTTGACCAGTAACGCATTAAATAAGGGTATTGAATACAATAGAATCGATTTGTAGATCCTGTGTTACTTGAGTTTAAGAATAATCACTTCGCGTTGTTGCTAATTTATTGATATATTTTGTTCCATGCTTAATGCACTTCCAAGAACCTATCTGAAGAACTGTGTTGCATTTTATGAGTTACAGAACTTGGTATTTTTCAGGGAGCATCAAATTTATGCAGTAATTATCGGAATTTCATTATAGAATACAGCAAATATTTTTCTGCTGAACAACATAAGATATCAAAGCACATTAACCTGATGGCCATCTTATTATTGTTTTGACCCAATACTGGTCTGTTTTTATATGCCTGGAATGTTTTGTATACTTTTTGTGGTTCCGCCTTTTCCGTTGGTCTAGGCGTTTATGTAAGGACGTTGCAAGAAGGGTTTACTTGTATCAGAATAGGCGAACCTCCTTATGTAAAGGGTGAGCTTAATGTTCAATTGCTTTTGAAAGGTGTAAGTTTGTGGTTTTTAACTTACCAGAACGCTTAGGAATATCAACGAATTGACCTTCAAAATACTTATGTGCAAAACCGCATGGATTCTTCCTTCGAACTTGTAATAAACGGCACTGAATGGGCCATGCACATGAATTTTACTAAATATCATCAAGATACAGCCTTTGTACTTCGAAATCTGGAAATCAGTCGTGGGAATGAAAGTTATTCAGCAGATTCTTCACCGAAGTTTATGACATCTTTATCGAAAATATTTGTGTGTTCATCTCATTTCGAAATCCCATTGGATAATGACGCCTCGCTTTCAATGGCAAACATTACATTACAAGCCTTTAACACCCAACCTACAAGTAATTGGTTAGGTAGACGTAATTTGTTTTAGCTGACACTGAGATTTGCCCCCGTGACATGAAGGATAATTTTCCGGTGACCCAGTTGACGGGTGCTGCTCTGGGACTGGTGATTGGTGGTGTGATTGTGGCCTTGGCTGGCGTTGCTATTCGAAAGCATTTTTATCCAGAGAACAAGCATGTTGATTTATAAAACATCTGACATGAAAGTTGAAACCCCTAACTTTATTATATTTGGCAAGATTGAATATCATGTGAACACTTTTCCGTACCTTTTCACTGACTACACCTTCTCAAGAGGCGATTATTGTTTTTGCCATATCTCTTTTACATGAATCTCGTGCCTACAGGAAGTAAAAGTGCTGTGATCGCATTGCTTTGTTTTATTAAAGGCCTAGGGACTTTTATAGTACTAGAGAGTATGATTATCCAAATCTAAGGTTCTGGACCATAAACGGAACGAATTGAGCTTTCTGCTGGTTTTTCTCACGCACTTGCGGCACGTGTAATTTAAGTTGTTTGACTTTGGTTTGAAGCTAATCTCTTTGACTTTAATCCCAGCCCAAAACGTAAATGACACATTTCACCGTCATTACTCCGTGAGGGCGATTAAATCAAGACTATGAATACTAATGAAAGCTTAAGGGAGTGCTGAGTGGTTCTACACTTGTAAAGGTTTGTTCGATGACACCTAATAGCTGTAATAGTATCTTTTGCGAAAGCTAAGTCCAATTCTGTGAAATTTGTTGGATCCTATGGCATTTGCTTAACATTGTGCCTGGGTATCGTAACGCTTACAGATCGTGAAAGTGTGGATGAACTTTTGGAAATTGGTTTGTAGTCCGCTTTACGCTGAAGCGGCATTATACCCATTAAGTTCAGCATTTATACCATTGTAGACCCCGAGACATTTTTTCTCACAAATAGCAAAGCTCGAACAATCCAGATCCTATTTAGGTGAGTCGCGTGCCTTCTGCTGATCGAAGTAGAGGCCAGCTTGCATAATTGAATATGCGGTTCTGTCTATCGTAGCACATACACTGGTTATCCACGCGACTTATAATGGTAAACTAAGGATAAGGAGATGGGACAGTAGACATCTTCGGAAAGTCATTCATTGTTTTGTCAATTATAGCATCCAAGTAAAATCTCCTAAAATTTGTCAGACAAAATAAATACGTCGGGAGGAACAATCAGACAGCCTTGAAATAAATTTTCTGACTTAAATTACGAGGTAACCAATCCGATTTAAAAATGCAATGTTCTTCAGTGCGATGAGTGTTGTATTCATCCAAAGCTGCGCTATAGTAGCAAAAAAACTAGTTGTAGAGGCAGATAGATGCAAATTTCTCCCAAAACTTACTCAAATCTTGGGTATGCATTTGGATTAAATAGGCATTAGCGAAACACACAGTGACTACGTTTTATTTGCATTCGTAGGAAT